GAATCTTCAAATTGATCATATCATAAAACAGTGATAAATGTGTCGATTTACATAAATAAGGCATCGTGTGTTCATTAAAATAAATGTGAAACTAATTAATGTATAAGTTCTAATTTTAGAATTTACCGTCGATGTCTCAATTTTAAAATAATAAAAAATATAAAATTTCTTAGAACTACCATACATCATATGGTTGAATTTTGAGAAAATTATTGAAATTTCATTTTAATAATTGTCTAAGGCATTAAGTCCAATTTATTGATGAGAAGTTCACGCTTGGTTTTCAATGACATTTTGTTTTCAATTTTACCCTTTTATCTGTTGAATTTTTTTTTTCTATCTATTAAATTTTTTATTCTATCTATTGAATTTTTTCTAGGGGGATGCACCAATAAATCCTAAATTAATAACTTGTTTATATACTGTTTAGTCCTAAAAGTTTTCTTATAGACTGAAAGATCCCATTACAATGTTTCAAACATCAGATTAATGTTTCGAACATTAGATTTCGAACATCAGATTAATGTTTCGAACATTAGATTTCGAACATCAGATTAATGTTTCAAACATTAAATTGATGTGCAAATGGGACTAAATGAAACATAAGAAAACTTTTAGAACTAAATGGTTCAACTTTTCAGAAACTATGACTTATAGGTAAATTTTCCTTTTTTCTATCTGTTGAATTTTCTTTATTCTATGTGTGGAAAATATATCTGTATGTCTTGGCTTACTTTTATTTTATTTGTTCAATTTTTTGAACCTACCATGTTCAAATTTGTATCCATCATGGCAAGGACTTTTTCAGGTTTTTTTTGGCTATTTTAGCCACAAAAAACAAAATAGGCTATTTTAGCCATAACAAACAAAACATCACATCCAACCTATAATCATTACATTCTTCTCTCACAAAAAAAGTTAAAAAAGTCAAAAAGTCCTTCCCAAACCAAACTTTTTAACCCATGCTAAAATAGCCAAAAAGCCAACCGACCTCCCAAACGGAGGCAAAATTTCAATAAATCAATTTTTGCTATCAGATGAAATTGAATCTCTATCGGTCAAAAATTGAATCTTTTTAATCTGATATGTTGAAAATCGTGGCGTAACTTTTTTGGTTTATCTGTTGTGTTATAAGTTTTTTGTTTATCTATTGCAATCATCAAATCAACAACAACAACAAAGAAAGAAAAAAAATGATCTGTTGAAATCAACCAAACCAAACCAAATCAGATCTTCTACTCAAAAAATTAAAAACAAAAAACAAAACAAAACAGATCTGAGTTCATTTCAAGATCCAGATCTATAACAAGAACCTCAGATCCCAAAAAAAAAAAAAATTGATATTTGATTCGAGTATATATATATACACACACACACATACCTTGTTTTTGTGATACTGATTCTCCGTTAGATACTCAAAAGTTTGCATAGATGCAAGTGAGTGTAAAAGGCATGGAGAAACTTATGAGAGATCCAAAAGAGGTTGGGACCGAAAGAAGTTTTGGTGATGGTAGAGAGCTGTTTACAGGCGGAAGAGAGGGGCGGTTTGGGTGGATGATTGTTCTTCTTCGTCCTCCATGTCTCTCACTCTAGTCTGGAATCTCTGAAATAAGGACACAGATTGTCGTTAGATCGGAGAGAAGAAAGAGAAAGAAAGACAAGAAGAGAGAGAGAGTGAGGGGTTTGTAGAAGAGGTTGCCGCAGTGGGCCTCGCCGTGAAGAGGAGGACAGAAAGAGAGAAGAGAAAGAATGAAACAGAAGAAACAGAGATGATTTAGAGAGAGAAAGAGAGACGGGTTAGATGTAAAATAGAAAGGGTTGTGATTTTAAATATATGGGATAATTTAATAATTGTGCAGAAGTAATGTCCTTATGAATGTAATAATTTCATATTTGCACCTTTAGACAAAATAAATTTAGATTTGGACTATTAAACTAAACGCCCTTGAATTTTAGATCTAAAGATAATGAGCTAGATGAGATTAGTTTGGTTCTTGGGTAGAATCTATGGAGATTTATTTTATGAATGACAACACGTGATTAAGGTGACGTCGTTGTGTTAGTCGAGGTGTCACGTGGTCTGGTTACACTGTCGCGATGATCTCCGCTGGGTCGAGGTTATCTACGAAAATACCGAAATTCGACATAAATAGATAAGGGACAAAAGTCCTAGAACACAGATGGATCTCAATCTGGATAAAGATAAGGCTTGAAGAGTTTTTCCCTATTTAGCTATCTAGCTGAGAGTCCAAGATGGACATTGAGCCTAAGTCCATTGAAGTGAAACTTCTAAAAAAATCAGGTCAAGCAGGGCACCCCGTGGGTCTCAAGTATCTGTGATATACTGTGAGCAGTAAATTATGAGTTTAAGGCCAAGTTTGGCATGATTGAAAAAAGATAAAAAGTCAAAAAGTCACTATCCTATTTAAGTTACATCATCTTATTTAAGTCACATCACCTCTCTAACACATCACTTCAAACCCAACTCAAACCCAACCCATATTTCATAAAAAGTCAAAAAGTGCACTTATTTAGTCTTCTCAAACTAGGCCTAAGTATTATTTGCTATCTGTAAGAGATAAAATTTACTGACTTGATCATTGGAGTGTCCCTAAGTGGACGTACCATCACGGAGTTCTCATCTTCTTGTTACAGGTTGTTGGGTAAAATCTATTCTGCCGGTATTATCCAATTGAGTTCCCCTTTCGATTATGTGGTCGGAAATCAACACTCATAGAATCGAATCAATATAAAATCTGAATTGATATATATTAAAAGGTGTATACACTTAGATGAATATGTTTCAAATCTATAATTACAATTCCGTGTATTAGTTTGATTTTTGGGTAGAATCAAATTAATATAAAATCTGAATTGATATATATTAAAAGGTGTATACACTCACATGAGTTTGCTTCAAATCTATAATTACAATTCAGTGTAGTTGAAGACAGTTACAAAGGGAAGAGTAATTTAGGAATAAAAATTTGTAAGGTTTCAGAACAGTAAAACTCCGGTCTTTGTTTCATATATAATATAGATAGATAGATATTTATTTATTTACATAAAATTTTATTCATAATAAAATATGTCTATATTATTGATGACAAGCAAGTATTAAGATAGGTTTGTTTAGAAACATTTTAAATATAGGAAAAATAAATGTGGATTGCTTAGCATGTGAGTTATACATAAACATTTCTTAGTCTTTTGTGCATGTTAACGGATTGTAATAAGTAAGATTGGTGAGTTATTTTTATTAACATTCATATACACGCATTTACTTATTTATTTATTGCTAAAGTTAAATTTTATCGATAAACAAAAACAGATACATCAAGAGTGATTATTTTTATCTCTAGAAGGAATTATAATCAAGATTCAGTGTTCCAAACACGAACACTCAACACCCAACAACCATAACTCGCAACATATTACGACCACCAACCAATAACGAAAACCACAATATATTACAGCCACCAACCAACAATCATACCCGCAACATTCTGCAACCAACAACAGTATAGACAAACCCAAACCTCCATGAAGGAGGAAGAAAAGCCTCCATTATTAATATTTATGTACATGCATTTTGCTTGTTTTTAAATAGTTTGACAATATATATATATATATATATGTATATGTATATATATATTCCATTACTAATCTTATTGCAAAAAATTATAGTTTCGAAATATATGATCACGTTTGTTTGGCTTTATCTGATAGTGGGGATTAAGAGTACGATAAGATTGAGTGAGAAGATTATTAGTATGATGATATTAGGTCGGAAATGTAAGACAAATAGTGTTTGTTTGTACACCATCAGATTAGTCGTAGGATAAATAGTGTTTGTTTGTACACCATCAGATTAGTAATACTATAGATAGTATTAATATATAAAATTATTATTTTTTAAGTTTTAGTATTTTTTTTTTATATTATAGCTATTTTTTTATTCTAAAAAATATAATTTTTGCTTAAAAATAATTTAAAATTGAGAAAATCTGTGATAAATTCAATTTAGAGAGTATCTAAGGCAATAGATCCAGTGAATATTTTTTTTGGTGATAGGTTCACCTTTTGTGAAATAATTTGATGAAAATTCCTTTCATTGGTTTTGAAGGATATTTTATTTCTAATTTTACCCATGTTGACTTTTGTTATCTGTTGAATTTTGTTAACTATCTATTCAAAAAAAAATCGATCAACGTAACTTTTTATAAGCATATAACACTCAACAAGTTCTACACATTTAACGATTCAAATTATTAAAACGTCACGGTCTCAATAATACCTTCCAATCCGTGATCAGACTAGAGGAAAGCCAGCCCTTAAAAATTACCCTTTGTTTAAACTAAGCTCTGACCTGAAAAAGAGGCACATAAATCCAAAAATATATAAATAATAAATCCTTGCTTGGTTGGTCTCTTTTTTATCTAAAAAGAAAGCAACCAAATGCCATATGAAGCAATCCAAGTGTCAAGAAATCCTAACTCTTGAACCATTAGATAGGTGCCATGCTCCCATACATTCAATGTCCAACTCTCTCTCTCTCTCTCTCTCTCTCTCTAATTTCTTCACATGAACTCTCTCTCTAATTTCTTCACATAAACAATTGACGTGCACATTTTCAAAAAAAAAACAAAACAAAACAAAACATTTAACATATATCAAATGTCTATCAATATCTAATAAACACAATTGTTTACAGAAATAAAATACTCAACGAGTCATATATATTTAACGGTTTAAATTATACATGCAAGCACTGTGTCAGACCTACGGAAACCAATAACACTTTTCAATCCGATATGAACTGAAAAGAAATCATTCCCTCAAAATTATTTTCTATTTTATTTTTTCTGAAAACAACCAACATTTTAGAAAACACCAAAAGCATATTTTCAAATTTTCAAAATTGTTTCAACACAAAAATAAAAACATAGGGATCTTCAACCTTTTCATTGTTTTTTGCTTCAAAAAAAAAAATGAAAATGAAAACGATGGCAAACAAGCCAACTGATGGCTACACTGGTAGTATCCACCACACATCCTGCTTGGGGCAAACATGTCCAACTCTATGCACATACAAATTACAATAACCAAAGTAAAGAAGAACAAAGAAAAACATGAGTTGTGTAAAATGTCCAAAAATTCTTCTATGGTGAGCCAACTTATCCATTCTTTTTCTCCTCAATTTCCTTGTACCACAAGACTGACCTAAATGGAAGTTACGACATTGACTTCGCAACTTTCGTCTACCCATTTTCTTTTCTTCCATTCTGCTGCAATTACATATCCCGTAATTTATCCTATGTATACATCACATACATGAAACTTAAATAAGCAGAAAAGATTTAATACACAAGAGAGAGAAAGAGAGAACAAGCGAGAGAGAGAAAGAGAGATCCATAACAACAGCGTGGACAACAACGAGCAGCTTCCCAAAACCAAAATCAAACTCAAATATCATCCACCCAACTGCACAATCGTTATGATGACCCATAAGGGGACGGTGATGGGGGAGACTTGCGGGACCCAGACCCACCTTCAACTGGTTTGTTGGACAAGCGGCGCTTGTAGCGTTTGAGAACAGAAGCAAGATTTTCTTTTCCTTTTGGGAATGCCACGTCACCGGCTGCCGTGCCGGTCCGACCTTTTCGGTAAGATATTGCGAGTTCGACGTCCTTGATTATGTCTAAGAGTGTTGCCGCAGTCGTGCACTTGCCCTTGCCGTGTTTTGCAGGTGGGGGCAAGCTTTCATTTGAAATAGGTGGTGGACTTGACCTCTGTTGGTATGACACTGGAATTTGCAGGCAGAAGCAGGGGGTCATTGGAGTACGAGGCTTCGAATAAGCCAGATCGATGATTCCCTGTCATAGATATGATTTATAATAAAGATGCATTAATTTCATGTTCACCAAACTAAATAACAAAACAATGACACCAAATAGGAAGAAAATAAGATATTTCATAAGTCATATGGAAATAGGTAGCCCCTCTGGCATTTGCATTCTGCCTTTGAACGATGAGGAAATTTAAAATCAAATTGTAGCAGCAAGACTGCAAAATGGCACTGTCGATTGGACCCCCTAATTGTCATACCAAAATAAAGTGTTTCTTGACGATGTGCCCCAAATTTTGACATCTCCATAAATAAATAAATAGCCTTCAGACCAACTAAATGAAATATCTCATCGCATAGCCCTGGCCAACCAAGCCAGATAGCGTGTAGGATAATGAACTAAGTAAATCTGTTTGCTTGATGGGTTTAAATAATAACAATGTTAAGATGGATGTGTTAAGATTAAGGTTAAAAGTGATTTATTCATGATAAATGTAATGGCAGAAACAATTGACAGTAAAATGAAACTTGATTAGCTAAAACAAGACCCCAAACATAAGGAGTGTGTTTTGATTCAAGGGTGATTGATAAAGGACACAAAGATGTATGTCACAAAAGATGATATGGTAGCGTTACGATCCAAGTAATGTTATGATCCTAATTCCCACATCATAAGTATAGCCTGGCCATGTGAATATAAGCAATTGGGCACACTCCCCTTGCAAGCCAATTTTCAAGGGTGGGTTATACTTAATGATTTATATCATTTGATATCAGAGTCAACCACAACGTCGAGTATGGGGTCGGGATGGGTTGCAACTCTGCGGTTGAGTCACAGAGGGCACGACATGAGGAAAGCTGCTACCTGTAAGAGACAAGGGTCAAATATGGGGTCAGATGGCTTGCGACTCAGCTGTTGAGTTACGGAGTGGGCAACCTGGGGAAGGCTGCTACATTTAAGAGAAAAGGGTCGAGTATGGGATCGGATGGGTTGCGACTCTACAATTGAGTCAAGGAGGAGCAAACTGGGGAAGGCTGCTACCTGTAAGAGACGAAGGTCAAGTAGAGGATCAGATAGGTTGTTGTGACTTAGCAGTTAAGTCACACAGCCTGGGCAAGGCTGGTACCTGTAAGAGACATAGTCCTTGAAGTCACCTAGCTGGGAAAGATGGGCCACTGGGACGTCAGTTGCGGAGCGTGGTAAAATGTTACAATCCTAAGTGCATATAAGCAATGGTTGATGGTCGTGAGTCGGAAATTCAGGAATTTGGGTTTTGGACTAACCAAATTGGATGAGTGAGAATAAATTAGCTCAGATGGATCTCTGAAATAACTCATATTAGAGTAATTATCATGGCAAATTTCCCTAGGGAACTGTGATTTTCTGAAATATCCCCTATAAATATGAGCAAAACATTTGCCTTTCTATTTGGTCAATAAGAGATAAACTACATACCCCGTTGCATTACACCATATGCCACAGTTACTACAAGCAAGGTACAAAGGTAGTTACAAAGCACAGAATTTGAAATTTTTACCTGAAGACGATTCAGTACATAGGTATATTTTCCCCATAGCTCTGGCCTACTTTCCATAAGTGAGAGTTCAAGAACCCGGTGAATGCACCATACACCAAAGCTTATTATCAAATCCACTCTCCAAACACAGCCCTCTCCGCAATGAGGAACTGAGGAAACCAGAAATTTGGCATAATCTGTGTCATCATTTTTCAGCGCAGAAACTGGCTTCCTGTCAAAAGAATACTGAGATTCACCCGTGTGAGCTGCCGAGTTCATCTCCCTAGTTTCAGCTTCATAAAGAAATCTCTCCCTTGCAGCCACACGATCTATAAGATCCTCATCAGCTCCATCATTCTGTCTGAACAACCAATCAGACCCTTCTAGTTTCAAAAGCTTCACGATACAGTGTCTGAAAGACTGAAGTAGCTTTGCTTCCAAATCCACAAGAGAGCTAGTTACTGGAGCAATTGAACCGTGTTTACTCCCAACTCCCTCACCCCCACTTGTACATATTTTATCATCCACGCCAAACCGTTCGAAGGGCTGTTTGGACCACAGGGATCCAGTATCTGAGCTTGAGCTGAACTGCAAAGTGAAAGGGTCCCTGTATGGTTTTGAAGGAGAAAGATTATCAAATGCCAAAGGAGCTCTTGCCTTCAATGTAGTACTCGAGTATAAGGATGGCCCATATCCAATGGAAGTATCCCATCGAGCACTCCTATCAGACAAATATGATTCCTGATATGGAAGAGCAAGTCCTGATATGTCTGGCAAGCTATGGAATTTCTTGGTATTGACTGCGCTATTGAGATTCTCAGCAGGTCCAGGAGAGGAAAGATCATTATTAAATGGTCTTTCAGATTGCGATAAAATATTTCTAGATACAGCAGGTTTTGAAAAGCCAGGTGGCGTCATAGTGCTTAACCCATTTTGTAGTTTTCGTCCCGAAGCGAAAGCAAGTCGATCTCTATAGTTGGATGTTCCCAAAGATGGGGATTTTGGAGTTAGTGCTTCCATTTGTCCATTGAAGTAATCAGAATTTCTGTCTTTAGCAATCTGACTGATATATGATGAAATCTGGTAGCCATGTATAGTGGCTGGCTGATAGTCACTGCCAATGGAAGAGGGTGGAAGTCGCAAACTAGAATAGCGCCTCTCGCCAGAGTCAAGAGCATCATGACTAGAGTTTTGCACGTGTGCACCTAACGACTGCAAGTGGCTAGTCCAAGATGAAGATGACCCCCTTTGAACCCCATATGATGTCTCGATGTTACCTTGCATACTCAGTGGCTTGGGAGAGTCATACACACTCGAATTCATTAGAGAATCAGATCCTCTTCCACCCACAGATGGAAAGTATCCAGCAGATTCTTTCCCAATAGTGTCCACTTTCAGAGGAGCGGTAAGCTTTGGATCAACCTTTGAATCTATCCCCAGCAACACATCCAGTTTCTTAGCCTTAGCTTCTTGTGTTGCGTGTCCATGCAAATCAAACAGCTGTCCCCAGAACTCATCAAGAACTGCAGCGAATTGACGTCTCGCAGCACGACCCAATCCCGCTAATCTTGAGAGACTTCCAGCACCGCTCGCAGGCCCACTATCCTCATTTTTCACACTGAGACTCCTATATGATCCAGGACCCTCAGATGTTAAGGATGGGTTAACCCCAGATACCCCTTTAAATGATTCTTCAGGCTCCCAAATATCTCCCTCATCTTCCTTTCCGGTCTGTAAATCCCCCTCTACTCTCACAGTCTTTTCTACTATGTCAGATGATTCGGTCTTCAAGGCAATGGTGTCCACTGACTCACCGGCACCGACACTGACAGAACCTTCACTAGAAACAGTTGAGACCACACCTGATTCGACTTTGGTAGCTGATTCCTCTGAATGAAACTTAGAAGGACTAGGAAATGTAATATTGTTGTCCTCAATAGTAGTCAAATTAGGCATGTTATCAGAATCCAGGAGTACTTCAGGCAAAGTTAGATCAGTACTTGTAACTGATATATTTGAATGACTCTCCAAAGACTTCCCCAGCGCTAATATGGGTTCTTGCTTTTGTATGGGTTCCTCCCTATCATATATAGTTTCATTGAAATCACTTTCATCTCTCGCTGCAAATGGATCTGGTACAACATCACTTCTATCCCAGTTCCATACCTGAGAATCTAATCTGGAACTAGCAGATTTCAATGGTGTGGCTAAAAGCCAAAGCATCAAACAAAGCAAAATAGAAGCAATGATGAGAAGCAGAAAGTAAGATAGAGACGTGCTACTGCCCACATTCCACCTCAAACTACCCACCCAATCGCTGTTCCCGAACATCATCTCCACCAGAAATATAATCTTTAAGCCCAGCATTCCAATAAACATGATCAAGGCTAAGAACTCCACGAACTGAGAAATCTTGTAGACACCCATTACCGATCTTGATGAGGCAATCCGGAAAAGGGGGATCACAGAAGATGGTAGCACAAGAGCAACCACCACCTGTGTAAATATCAGCAGCTGATATATACCTTCAGCTCCTGAATTCCAAACACAACATAGGGCAGGAATAATGGCAATAGTTCTGATTGTAACATGATGAAGCCAACCGGGAATGCCAATTCCAAAGAAATCACGCAGGACTGCTTGTCTACCAAAATTCCATGTTAATGTGGTGATTTGATTGGAAACCAACAAAATCAGTAGAAAGGCGAAGGGCACTATTGAACTCCTAAATACCTGCATAAATGATTTTTTGGACAACTGAATTTTTGGCATGAATCGGAACAATAAAATGCATGCACCTGATATGGAAACAGTTACAACATGAAGAATTGCTTATAAAACCCAAACCTGATCCATTAGCGACAATGCATCCTGAAAAGTAAGCAAAACAAGGCCTGTACTGTAGAACATATTTGCCGCTGCGTTGATCAGCACATAATTCACCAAGAAAATACCACTGAAGATGCATAGGATGGCTAAAAAATGGTCTTGACACAAGAGTCCCTTGGAAACATTCAGTGGTCCCAGTTCTTGCTGCAATAATGCAAATGACAATCAGAACAGAGTCTTTGACGCAGCAAGAGAAAAGCTGATGAGCTCAACTTTCAACAGTTAATGGAACAACTATGGACAATGAGCAAGAGAATGGACCATGAGCACAACAATTCTTGGCTTTTTAGGATTAGAAAAGATAAAATTATATACACACGCACGCGCACACATATAAAAATATATATATACATATATATGCAATAACCTTATTTATTATCATGGAACAATCTATCTACCATATGGAAGCCCACTACTTTATATTGTTTTCATTTCTTGAAACTCAAAAAACAAAAAGCCAAAATTGAAATCTAAGAAGGCAATACCAAACAGGACCTATCTCTAAGACTAACTAATAATTCTGTCCCTAAATACTCACCACCTATGAGACCCAATCTGCCTAGGTGGTCCATGCTCCACCTCTCAATCTGTGGATCTGCAAATTGAGATTTGATTCATGTATACTCCAGAGGTAGGTGATCTTAATGCAAATGGGTAATCTTGGAAGACAAAGCCTACTCACTCCCATGTCCTTAATTGTCTGGGTAGGTTTGTAACGCCCCCAAAATATAATACAATGAACCCAACTCTTAAACAGAAGAATAACAAAAACAAAATGTTTTCCTTCATCAAAGTTCGTATTACAAAAGATAATACATGCAATATATATTCATAAATGTTCATCCTGAATCTATAGCATGTAACATCGGTTAATAATCAACAAAATAGATGCCCTACGGGTTTACATCTTTCCAAGACATTGCTTAGTTACACTTACACAAAAGAAAGAGTCTAACTCAATACATCTTAAGCCCTTGGCTTTACAAAAAATATAATCAAAAATAAGGAAGCTCTTGCTCCCAATAATCCCTCCAAGCTATTGCCTTGGTGCAAACATGTCACAAACACCTAAAAATGTTTTCCCCAAATAGGGTGAGCCACAGCCCAATAGGAATCCCCTAACACAATATATGAGGTTTAGCAAAAATATAAATATAATATGTATACACAATGTTTGTGATAAAGCGTCCACAAATTCGTATACTCATAAGATACCAAATTTTAAATCATAATCCAATGTCTTTCAATTCATTTCCAGTTCTTTTATTCTTCTCAATTCACAAAAATAAAATAAAATAATAAATCATTATCTTTTAATAACCAAACGAAACTACAACTCAAAGGTTCTACAATTACAAAGTAAACACACAAACACTTCAATCTGCCATTTTACGAAAATTTCGTCCGTGGGATCGGCACCCATGTATAAATTTCGGGACTTTCACCCAGGACACTCCGGCCAACTTAATTATAATGGAGCCCATTCCCTTTCTCCTCCCAAACAATCATACATATACAATGCATTTAAAGATATAATCACACATGAAGTACATCTCCTTTCTCCTCCCAAACAATTATACATATACAATGTATATACCACATGATCATATTCAATGATAATCAACAATAAATTAGTTTTAATTCACCTAATCCTCATGCAATTTATATAACAATCATAGCTATCCCCCACTGATAGCCCAATACAGTTATTTCTAAACAGATATTAAATCTCAAGACAGATAGTTCATTCAAAATTTCCAAGGATGAGAGATAATACATAACCAATCCCACCATTCATATCAATAATCCTCCAATTTCACATTTTCAATGACAATTTCAATTATGTATACAAAATAACAATTTGATCCAATTAGGGCAAAATTTTCCTTTTTCCAAATATTAATCAAGTATCAAAATCAACCATTTTGACACAATAAGACTTCATATTCAAACCCCATACCCATTTATTTCATATTTACCAAAAACTCCTCTTTTCACCTTACACTTCAAACCCTAGGTTTGTCCCAAATTATCTCAAATCCCACCATTGTTACACAACTACAAATAACTAAGCTAAAAGCCATATGAGAGTGTAGAAAAATCTCTACCTCAAGTTAGAAGACCAAGCAAGCAAAGGTCGAAATTTCAAAGACGCCGAAACCTACTTTTATTCGGATCAAAACGGAGTTCTCAAGATGCTCTATCCTTTTTTCAAAGACACTGAGGTGGAAAGATCAACGGATCTAGGAGAAAAATGTAGAGAGAGAGAGTATTTTAGAGAGAGAGGGTCAAGATTTAGGTTTTTAGAAAGTTTTAGAGAGAGAGAAGGATGAAAAAGTGATGAAAAAGATCATCTTCACAAACTGTTATACACGCAGTCCGCTCGAGCATGGAAAGTAACGCTCGAGCATCAGACACAAAGTTCTGCTCAAGCGTGAAAAGTGGCACTTGAGCGACAAATACACACTTCTAGAAGTTTTGCAGACGAAGGACCCCGCTCAAGCGCAAGAATGGATGCTCGAGCATCCATTCGCTCGAGCGTAGGAAACACCGCTCGAGCGTAGAACACACTGTTCCAATATTTGCAGGTCTGCAAAAATACTGAGAATTGGCAAATCCCACTCAAGTGCAAGAATGGCCGCTCGAGCGGATGAGCAAAATTTGTGAAGCCCGCTCGAGTGCAAGAATGTCCACTCGAGTGGAAGAGCCAAAATCTGGGCAACAAAGGTTTAGAAAAACAAGCAACCAACCTGTTTCAAACGCACAATTAGAACCCGATAACCAAAATAAAGGTAAGACAAGAGAAACAAGATATGAATAACCATTCTAAATCATACTAACCCGAGTCCGAAATACAATAAGTGACGGGTTAAAACTAGAATTGCTATAAAGTTTGACAATACTAGATGTAAATGTAACTTTTGAAGTTTGAAAACTGAACCCGCAACAAACCAGATGTTAAAGAAGCTAACAACCACCAGAACATAATAATTTCATTTATAATTTTGTTTTTCTCTTCTAACAAAACCTCCAATAGATCATGTAGAATCCAATTCTTTATTTTTAACACCATATAGTAAACCTCCTCTTATAAATGTCACCAATTTGCTTTAATACTCTTCCCAAAACGACCTCATCGAACAATTTTTTTCGGCCATCCCCAACTCAAGGGGCACAACACATACACACAGTGGATTCACATAAAATTACCTTTCTTCAAGAAAAAGAACCAAATTTCTCTAGTCCAGGCTAAACTTTGAGATAAAAATATGTAAAACAAATTGATAGAGAGAGAATAAATTGTATGTATTATTGATTGTAGAACCAAATTTCTCTAGTCCAGGCTAAACTTTGAGATAAAAATATATTCAGATTCTTCATAAAATCTAATAGAACTATACCCTTGAATTATGATGACAAAAAGTAGCTCATGATACACAACTAGAACTGCAAATGACAGGGTTTTTCATAACTAATCTGAAGTTCAGCTCATAAAATACTCCTTCGAATTCAATTGATAAGCAAAAGAACCGAGATTATAAAATCCATTACCAATAAGCCAAGTCTGAACTACCTAAGTTTGAGTTGGTCCCATGATCAAAACACAATGGCATTAGGCAAAAATACTTAAAATATTTTCATAGTGTTTTTGAAGTCCTTGGTAAAGATTCACGGCATGATTAAACATGTTATTTGGAGAAGATGTAAACATGGCAGATGAATATAAAAATCCCTGCCCTTTTTCAAACGAAATTATACATCAAGCTTGATTGATGGATTCGTATGCGACAAGGCACTGAAACAACATATAGAGGTTGCCATGAAATACAAACAACTAGTCAATAAACTCAATAAGCATGATGCCTCAGGTCCGGAAGATAACTGCCCAGACAGTAAAGACAACAATGCCTGAATTTCAAACAGTGTTCTGCCGCGGTCTCTGTATTTTTTAAAATGTATATCAACTTAGAGCCTATGACACAAACAACTATGTCGAAATATGTTTGTCATTGAGACAAAATACTGAGTCTAAAATAGAAGGCAACCACCAGCTTAATAAATCTTCTGGGAGCTGGGAAGTGGTAATCAGTAATGTGTTCAACGATTTCTCTTGAAATAAATGCATTATTCACTCCTAACCAAATAGGTGTCCGAATGACATGAGTTGCAGGATCACATCATTGCAATTTTAAGCACACCTATGCATAACCAAGTAAAAAATATCCACACAAAAGCATGTTTAACATGCATGGCCCATAGAATATAATCTCAAAGAAAAATACTAGCAGACATAGTCAAATGTGGGTATGACTGACATATCATAAGTAGAAATGTGAAAACAAAATTTGAAATAAAGATGGCATCAAACCGAAGGATTTACTTTCCTCCTCAGCTTTGATGCCTAAATGTTGTCCAGACCAAACTTCAATGTATAAATGCAAGTTCCAAAACAATTCCAACATATGGGATGTTATATTGTTGAAAACCAATAAATAAATTGCAATGGACACATGATGATATATCGTAAGGCCATTAGATATATTGCAATAGTGCACAAGAAGAGAGAGAGAGAGAGAGAGACCTGTACAATAGAAGAATGGAGATAAAAATTGTGAGGCATAACATTCGCTCCAAGAAGACTCATCAATGCAAATGCACTCTCCCCACTTAACTTTGTTAGCATCCCACCCATGGAGATTGAAATTTCCGGTTGACTGAAGAGCACCCCAACAACATAAAAAAGAAATATAGAGCTTGCAATGAATATGCAAATGAATTTTGCCTTGCCGTTATCCTGAAAAATATGTTTTCTTGAGATTATAATTCTGTAAAACCTTGAGATGACAATGCATTTGAGAGATTATACAAAAAAAAAAAAAAAACAAGTAATTAGGTTTTACCAGGAAGGTGGCAAAAACTGGAAATAGAACAGCATCAATAGCTGTCAGAAAGACACAAGCGCATAGGTCCAAGCCAAAAATTAGATTGAGCCCATGTGCGATGCCTAGAATCTATCAGAATAAGGGAAATTATGAGAAGGATTGTAATACAAAGGAACAACCAAATGTGACATCAATTGTTAGTAATACGGAGAAACTACCATAGAAAGGTCCAAAGCAATCATCGAAATCTCTGTTAGCACTCCCAAGAATATGCATGTGGACTTGTCATACTCTTCACTGCAAATCTTTGCCATCACCAAGGGAAAAAAAAGTACAAACATGTAACTAAATTAGCATTGCAAGAATAACATACATCTCAGTTACATTGCAACCTAGCAGGCATTTCCTATGTTAACCACACAAAAAAAACACCAATTTAACTGGATGAAAAAGGATTCCAACTCAACTCAACAATGCAATCCCAACTAGAGAGAAGAAAATAGGTGTTCATTAAGAAAAATGTTCATTTCTCTATACTACTGTCATGCTATTACACTATAATCAATAAAGTCATTCACACTTTAGAAACTATTGTTTTTTATTGTAGGATAAGAGGAAACATAAAATTTTCATTTGCGCTAGTGTATTAAAGTTGGAAAAAATGGTAAAAAGCAAGCTAGCACAAAATTCACATTACTAACAGGATTCTCATTTTCAAAATTTTCTTCCATTTCAAACAATAAATAAAATAAAAACCAGCCAAAACTGTTCAAAATCACTGAAGCCAAAATAACTCGAGATACTGATGGACTTCCAGATAAATGGAATCAAGAAAAGAAGGAAGTACCTGAGAAAGATCTTTTCCAGTAACCATAGCAATACAAGCTGAAAGGTACTGACACAAAATAGCAGCAAAATTGAAAGTGAGCATTATCAGAACCAAATCAGACCCAAAACGGGCTCCTCCCTCAACAGCTGCAGCCCACTTTCCTGGGTCAACATATCCTATTGCAATTAAAAGCACAGGTACAACAGCAGGAAGTAACCGCTGAACGATGCTTGATCTTTTGTTAACCATCAAAAGTTCAGTGTCCATGTTTGACTCTTCAAATAACTAAAAATTCAGCACTACAGTCTGATAATTAACTAATTCTACCAAGTAACAGAAGAACCTCCCAACAAACGACTATAAGACTCAATCAATTACATAGTTGCATATAACAAATCTACATTCAGTGCAAAAACCCCAGTGTACATCAGTCATCTAGAATAACACGGAAACTTGAGAACATAGCTGCCGATTATCATCTCTGGAGAATGCGCACGAAGACAAGCAAGTCTGGAGAATGCTAACTTGCCCAGGTTTAGTCACATTACAACTGTTGACTTGGCAAGACTAATAACTAATTTGGCTTTAAATCAAAACCACCTTCATGCAAATGTTGAATATTCCAATAAACCCTTGATTTGTTTTTTTTTTTTTTTTTTTTTATGTTTTGAAAAATTTGCCCGATATGATTTGAGTGCCAACAGCTAACACATCAATGGAAAATTCCACCTGAAAGTTAATTTCAGAATAAAAAAAAAACTATGGATATTATCTGTAATCCATGGAAGCTCATCCACACAGATAAATAATGCCAAAACACTTCCTCACTGAACTGCAGTTCAAACTTCTAATCCTGATCCAACAAGACAGATGCAAGAAAATATATCAAACATTAAACAAAATAATCTCTGAAATCCCAAGTTAATAAGATAACTGAAGTACTACAAAAAATAACAATATCAACAGTAATTGGACCTATAAGATCGAAAAAGAATTTAAGAGGAGCTTTTTGTTGAAGGACTACTGCAATAGCAACTCAATTCTATTAACAACCTAAAATATCACATATTTAACAGGATCACATAAACTCGGCAGAAAGCAGAAATTTCATCAACGGATATTAAGAAGAACAGACCCAATTTTACCACAAGTCTAGAAAGAAATTTTACATTATTGAATAGGCAGTGGCAAACGATACAAGCAAGACAAAATTTTCACAAATTAAAGAGACTCATTCAACATGATTATACAGACACATGTTTTTACAATTACAATCCTCAAAACTACATTCCACAAGCAGTTTAACAAGAAGAAATTCAGAACCCACTATTTCTATAACACATAGGACTCACAGATTAATGAGAAATTATCAACACTAAACCCTATAAATTAACCCAAAAAAATGAAAGGGGGGGAAAAAGATTAAAAAAAATAAAAAGCACCTGCCAAGATCCTCGGTGTAGTACAACCCACATCACAAAAATAACCAAAAAAAAAGGTTCCAGAACAAAAACCTCATTGTGAAAATAAAAGTAAACAGAGAGTCCAAAGGCAACAAGCAGAGCAAGAAATGACCCATTTTTTTACAAAGAAAAGATTGCAACTGCCATGGATCTGAATATGAAGTAAAAAGCAAAAGGACCATTGCAATTTGCACATACTTCAAGAGAGAGGAGAGAAGAGAGAGTATACATATATGTGCGTGTATATATAGATATGATTAAACATGGGATTTGTCCTTATAGTCCTATCCAACGACAGCTACATACATATCTACTATGATTAGGGTTTCCAAAAATAATATATTGTTGTTACAATTTACAGTACCTTGTTGTTTCCTTTTTCGATTCTGCCCAATCTCTCTGCTTCCAACTAGTAGATCAGAAGCTTTTAAGAAGCCCACTGGTAAATTGATTTCTAGTGAGAGAAACAGATAGAGATAGAAAGAGAGAGACTCTGTTCTCTTAGCTAGCCTGTGACAGATGAGAGAGAAAGTTGTATAATAGAGAAAGAGAGAGAGAGACACAGAAAGGAAATGTATAAATATAAATTTATATCTATCTACCCCTACTATCTCTGTATATGTTGTTGTGTGGAAAAAAATAATTAAAAATAAAATAAATATAATTTAAATGTGATATTTTATTATATTAATTTTTTAATTTATTTTACTATTTTATAACTATTTTAACTTAATAATCTCATGCCAAATGAAGGCTCAGAACAAATTATAAGTTAAGAGTGGTTTCATATTATTTTTTACAGCATGCGACAATCCTGCACTGCGCATCATCAACACCAATTCAACCTTCTACCAATCTTTATCTCGGCAGGCAGTTGTCACGACCTCATTCCGCCCCTAGTAGAATGGTGCCGTGATGGCCAGTAATCCGAGATTACCAAAGGCCAACTTTCAAAATCCACACACAATCAGAGTATTACATATGGGGCTAACATGTGCGGAAGCAATATATACAAATCTAATTAGTCTATAAGAGCTGTGCGTAAGTCAAATGAAAGGGCATACATCTTTAACATGGTCTTACATCTTGAATATAACATAAGCAAAATACATATTACATCTTGATCAAAGGCCTCTCAAGCCGACATATACAAAACACATGAACTACAAGTCCAGAAACATAATCTTCCAGGTTGCCGACATCCTCACTGCTGGCATAACGTACATACAAAACACACATCTCGGCGTAACCGACTTCTTGCTTGCTACCTACATATATATAGGGAGGGTGAGCTTGGATACTCAGTGAATGGTACAAGAAATAAAGGTTTTAAATGAATGATATCCGAGATCCTTGCAAAACATACATATCATAGCTTGTACAAAACATGGGATGAATCTAGTTCATCAACCTTGATCTTACAAAACTTGCTTACTTACTTTGGATGTTAATAACAGCTACATAATACAAGGGATGACATTCCGGACTTACAAAACAAGAGTCTCTCTCTCTCCCTCTCTCCTCCTAGTAGAGTGAGAATGAGATCCAAAGTGAAAAAATAAATACATATTTTTAAACTCTAATATAATTATATTAAACTCTCATCACAATAGCTAATAAAAAAATTTGTACTAATAATAATTTGTTCATGGTGTTACTTGAAAAAAAAAATTATTTAATGGTCATGAATTAGTTTGCCAAATTTAGGTTAACTTTGGCATTCCTTAAAAAAAGTCAAAAATTTAAAAAGTCACATCATCTTATTTAAGTCATATTAACTTTTTATCACATCACTTCAAACTCAACCCATGTTTCAAAAAAAATCAAAAAATACACTTATTTAAAATATCCCAAACAACCCCTCAATTATGATCTACCAAGTTTTTAAGATTCTATGAAGTGAATTTCAATAGTACCTAATTTTACCGTTTTTGAATTTCTTTATCTTTTATCTTAATCTATTTTAATTATTAGATCATGAGATTTAGAGTATCTCCAATGATTCACTAATTTTTTTCATCAGATCTGAGTAAAAAAAAAGCAAGTTCTTCAATCTGATATCAGCCACTCCAACGGTACACTGCAACTTTCATTAAAAAACAGGGGACGTTCAGGGGGACAACCGAACAAGGAAACTGAATTTTTTTACTTGTTGTATCTTGCTTGATTGAATTGGTGAAACACATATTTGAGTCTGTAAAGTCTCTTCTTTCCACAAGCAAGACTAGGCATTATCTAGATTGTAAAGCTACGCAACTTGAAATGCACGCCATTTTATTCGAAAATCTGATACGGAATTGCGAAATCAATGATTTCTCAAATAACCCATTTGAAGATAAGGAAAGAAGAGACAGAAAACATATCAACACGATTGATCCCAACATTCATCACAGACCCACATCTCTTTTTCTCTATATTTCTAGAATTTGAAAAAAAAAAATTGAACTTTTTTAGAAGAAAAATGAACAAGAAGAGGTGAATGAATGGTTTTCAAATTAATACCTATATTTACACCACTTTCCTTCTAGAGAGAGAGAAAAAAAAGATGAATGGTGGAGGATTTATGGATAAGAATTGGAGAGGTATAATGTGTTGGTGACAGTAAAGGGGAAGGCAAAACAATCCACTCTTAATAATTTTTCCTCACATTTAAGCTTGAGGGGTCATCCAGGGAGTTGACTGGGGTTTGATCGAGAGGTCGACCTCCCAATGTAAAATCTTCACAAAATTTTGCTTGAAGTGATCATCCGAAAAGACATCTGGTAGTAAAAATACAATGATAATGAACAGTGTTTTGCTGAAAGGCACACAACATCCTCAGTTTGGTGAAAAATTTGGGTCATTCTCAATTTGATACCATTTTGACGAAACTATTTGAGACAAAAAAATTGTCCTTTTTCACCAAATTCGAATTTGATGATGAATCTGGTAAACCATTAAAGATGGTCTTATATATCCTTCAGATTTTTTCTATGATTTAGGATTGAATAAAGACAAAAAGTTTAAAAGCAAAATGAACCTACACTAAAAGGTTGTTTTGGATGATCTAAATAAGGGTTCGTTTTGGACGTGGATTAACTTTTTAGTTTTTTCACTTTTTAGCCTAGGATTAAAAAGTCTTATTTGGGATTGACTTCTTGGATTTTTTGACTTTTGTTAGAAAAAAAATATATATTTTTATGGTTTGAATGTGATATTTTGTCATATTAAATTAAAATGTCTATTTTGTCTTTTTGTGACTATTTTAGTTAAAAAGTCCCATTTTACTTTATGTCAAACGAAGGCTAAATGCACTTTTTGATTTTTTATAAAAAAATATATAAAAAAGTAAAAAAATGATATGACTTAAAAAAAATAAAAAGATAAAAAATATACTTATATTCAACACTCCAAACAAAATCTTAACAAAGGTGTTAATAACATATATCTTTGACAAAAACACACACATTACTTTTCACTAATTTAAAAATAATTTAGAATTTTGTTAACACGTACATTCTAGAACATAAGAAAATAATTTTAAAAATGAGTAGAGCCAATATATATATATATATATATATATCACTAAATTCAAAACACTTTTTATAATTTTCATAACACTTTTTTATTACATATCACTAAATTCAAAACATTTTTTGTACTTTTCATAACACTTTTTTATTACATTTCTAATATTAACAAATGTCCATTTACCAAACACTAATTATTAATTTTAAGAATAAATTATAAATACACTTTTTAAGATTTGTTTAAAATTCAAATCACCCCTTATAGTTTTAGAAATTATATTTCATCTCCTGAGATTTATAATTTCATAAGAAATGGCATTTTTTATTAACAAATTATTTTAATGAAATATATTTTAATTAATAACTCACGTAATTTTATTATTATATAGGAAGATAATTATGAATTTTATTTTTTTAATTAATTATGTTAAATAAAAAATTTTGATAAGGTGATATTTGAGTAAAAAAAGTACACAAGACAAAATAAACTAAATAAGTAAATAAAACAAAATATGTCATTCAAATCATAATCATTTTACTTTTTTTTTCACACAAAAATTTAAAAAATCAATCCAAATGAACTTTTTAATGTCAAACTAAAAAGTCTCAACTCAAAAAAATCAACTAAAAAAAAATCATAATCAAACGACAACTAAATTTAACCTAAATTTAAAGCCTCGTTTGGGAAGTAATAGTTTTAACCTAAAATTAAAATGTTACTAAAAAAATCTAAAAATCTAAAAATCTATAATCTATACCAAAAAGTTAAATATTCTCATTTCTCTTTATTTTTTACACATCTTTTGGTAAAAAATCAAAAAATTATTCTAAATATATAAATTTTTTTATCTTATATTTTAGTTTAAAAAATTAAAAAATTATTAAAATAACATGCTTCTAATCGAGCACTACAAAACGACGTCGTTTTGTATATTATTATTTTTTTTATCTTTTTTTTTCTTCCTTTGTTTCTTATTCAGCTTTCCCCTTCCTTTTTTGAACCCTAGACACAGAGGTGACGAATCTGGACAAATGAGGAAAAGAGGCGATGATCTGGACGAGAGTTTGAGCCGACGAACGGAGAGGCGACGGAGGCGAGATGAGGCAACGAACGGAGAGGCGGCAGAGGCGAGGCATGACAAGGCAAGGTGAGGCGAGGGGATGGTGAGGCGACTGGAGCAACGAGAGACGAACAGACATAGTCGGCGAGAGACGAAGAGAGGGTGACGAGGTTCGTTTCTCTCCCTTTGGTATGCTTGTCTGATGTATGAAAACTGATTTGTAAACAGATGTAAACAAATGAAGTGAATTGGATATTTTTTTGGTGATGTATGAAAATACCAGATGTAAACAGATGAAGTGAACTTGTATGCTTGTCTGATGTATGAAAATACAATTTGAATATGCTTCTTTGATGTAAATTTGTATGAAAACCAACCACATTCTGAATTTGTGTAAAAGAATGATTCTGAATATGTGGTAAGTGTAAAATATGAATTTGTGATTCTGACTGTACAAAAATGATTCTGAATTTGTGAGAACAGAATGCCCATATGCCCTTTGAGAATAAATCTGGGTGTAAAATCTTTGTGATGAGTTAATTGGCTTCAAATAAGTGTAAAATCTGGGTGTATGTTGGGTTCCCTTTGTGATGAGTTAATTACCTTTGAGAATAGAATGCCCATATGTTTGTCATGAGTTAGAATGCCCTACAGAGTGAAAATCTTTGTCATGAGTTAGAATCCCTTTGTGATGAGTTAATCACAAAGAATGAAAATCTTTGTGATGAATTACTTGAGAACAGAATTTGTAAACAGATGTAAACAGGTGAAGTGAACTTGTATGCTTGTCTGATGTATGTGTAGACGCGCCCGCATAGGGGCCCTCGCTATAGTTCGGACTCGATTTGTGTCACGGTTCTTAATCTGAACCAAAGACTCCAAATCCGGCAAATCGTTTTGAGAAACAGATTTTTTGAAAAGAAGTGCCAAACATGGACTGCTTTGCCAGATACAGAGTCGCTACCTAAATATTTTAAAATGGGAGA